GTAGATTTTATGTTAGTGATGACACTAGAAATGGAAGCTTTCTGTTTTGCTTTTTGTAAGTTATTCTAGTAAAATCCGTGTCACTTACACACAGCTGAACCTAGATCCATCCTGGACATGAACTATCCTGCCAGGGCTGACATGAATTTTAACCATTGAGAGATAAATCTTTCTTATGCATTGCATGTCAACCTTGTACAATGTTAGAATATAGTTAGAATATAGTTTGGTTTGCAAAGTTATGTAAAGCTTCTTTTCAGTATCTATACATGTATTTTTCTCTTCCTTTCTCTGATATATTCCAAAGCATGCAGTATGATTCCTGAGAGCATCGTTTTCAAATAATTTATGAAAGTAGAAAAATAATACGGTGGTCAATCCATCTAACATGCCCACTTGCAATTTTGTTTTCCTATTGCATTTGACATTTAATTGCAAATACTGAGATGGAATTGACCCAGAGAAGTCTTGCCCAACCAACCCACAAACAAAAGCCATAGTCAATTCTATCTGTCACTGTGATTGATAAGGAAACCAGTGCTTTAATTTCTCAGGTGATTTTCCTCTCATCCTGATGAACCTGCCCATCAAATTCAAGAGACAGGCAAGAGAAGAAATATATTTCAAAAGAAGGAGCAGCTGTAGGTGAAGGCATTTGTTGCTACCACTTCTACCTTCATTTTTTCTGATTTATTCTTCTTTTTGTTGTTCCTCTTCTCCTTCTCCTTTTCTTCTTCTATCTTTTCTAGGATATCCACCTCTTAAATATCTCCAGCCTATGGCAAAAATACTCACATATGTCACTTAAATGCCACAAGTGGCTAGGCCAGGCTATGAGTCTCAGAACTCTCATATCTTTAGGTTTCAGTGTGTGGTTTTTTTTTATAACTTTTTAACATCAGCCCCTCTGACATACAAGTCTCATGATCCTTTTTCACGTCACAAAATGATATTCCAGAACCATCTGTGTTTAGATTGCTGTGTGTGGTGGAAGCTAAAAACATGACATGCATTTCCAGGGCGCCCTAGCACCCCTCTCTGGCATTTTCTCCTTAAACAGTAAACACATATACACGTGCGTGTGCATGCATATGCAACTCTAAACGGAATTCAGAAGACATAACACTGGGAAAAGCTCACTTTTTAGAAATTCTGAAGAGCTAGAACTACATCCTCCCCCACTACCAGAGACTCAATCAGCCTCCACTGAGGGGAAAAAAAAAAAAAAGAAAGAAAGAAAGAAAGTGGCTGCAGTTGTAAGAGACAGCCTGATCTAATTGATCCCAGCTCCTCAGGGAGGATGTTCTTCACTTAATTAAGAGCACAGCCACCTGCTTGGTGTATTGGTGTCTAGCAATTCAGTTGAGCAGGTCCATCCGCAGATTAGGACACCAGCTTTTACTGATGCGTGCTACAGAAACACTAGCATATTAAAGCTCTAAAGCTGGTTCTTAAACTGTCATAATACTGGCTGAATTATAGCTGATTGGAATACCGAACATGAGAATGCTGATTGGCTGGGAACAAATCAAATCTGAGGGAAACCACGCTGCACTAATAGAATAATAAGTCAGAATGCTTGAGAGAAATTATTTATACTGTTGCTTTGCAGAAGTCCTGATCATTCTTTTAGCTTATGTTCTCCAGCAACCATCCTCTCTAAGATGTTTAATCAAAACCAATGTTAGCTGTTCTTTGGAGTGCTGTTGGTATACTTTTGCCCAATGCCACATTTTATGAAAGAATATCAGCTCTTTTAGGCTTGTACTATGTATGTGTTAACCTACTCACATAAAGCTGTTTATGGGAACAGGTAAAACTTGGCAGTTGCTGATTTTTAAAAACCCAAAAGATGACCAATTGCTAAACAAATTTCAAGGATTCCTTGAGTTTTGGGGTAGCAAACAAAAGCCCCAAGTGAATATAGTTTATTTTTTAAAGAAAAATACGGGTTCTAACTCTTGACATTGTGGTGAAATTATAAATTCACTAAACACTAATTAGAACTAATTATCATATGAAGTTAAAGGGCATCAGCAAGCAGGCTTAAACCAAATTTGTATTTGTTTTACATGATTTAACTGTTCCCCATTTTTCTTTCTACTTTTTATTATTGCTTGGGCTCTATGTAGCAATGCCAATAGTTAGTAATATCAATGGTTAATAGTATAGTAGGCCTGAGATGAAAATGTTTAACATTATTTAAATATTAAAAAAAAATCAAAACAATTTTTGGTTAACTGTGTAAAGTTCCTACCCTCTAAATTCTAAAATACACTCTTCAAATTCTAAAATGTATTCTCTTTATGTAGTTGTTCATTACCTTTAAAAATTTTAAGACCTTTTACATTAAAGGTACTATGGACATGCAGAATGATGTGGGGTTTTTTGGGTTTTTAAAATTTTTTTATTAACATATAATGTATTATTTGTTTCAGGGCTACAGGTCTGTGATTCAACAGTCTTACACAATACAGAGCACTCACCATTGCACATACCCTCCCCAATGTCTATCACCCAGCCACCCCATCCCTCCCACCCCCCTCCACTCCAGCAACCCTCAGTTTGTTTCCTGAGATTAAGAATTCCTCATATCAGTGAGGTCATATGATACATGTCTTTCTCTGATTGACTTATTTCACTCAGCATAATACCCTCCAGTTCCACCCACGTTGTTGCAAATGGGCAAGATTTAATTCCTTTTGATGGCTGCAAAATATTCCGTTGTATATATATACACCACGTCTTCTTTATCCATTCATCTGCCGATGGACATCTTGGCTCTTTCCATAGTTTGGCTATTGTGGACATTGCTGCTATAAACATTGGCGTTCACATACCCCTTCGGATCAATACATTTGTATCTTTGGGGCAAATACCCAGTAGTGCAATGCTCGGTCGTAGGGTAGCTCTATTTTCAACTTTTTGAGGAACCTCCATACTGTTTTCCAGAGTGGCTGCACCAGCTTGCATTCCCACCAACAGTGTAGGAGGGTTCCCCTTTCTCTGCATCCCCGCCAACATCTGTCGTTTCCTGACTTGTTAATTTTAGCCATTCTGACTGGTGTAAGGTTTTGTTTAATAACTCATATGTTAGTAAGAATATCCATATGATAAAATTATTTAATATATATTAATATTTAAATGTTTTTCAAGAATACATTTGTCCTAAGAAGCCCAGCACGAAGAATGTCACCAGTTATATATTTTTAGAAAAGGTCTTTTTTGTTTTGATTATTTTTCATGAGAGTTGACACATGGATTTTTATAATATATTTACAGTTTCAGAATACTAAAAAAAGCAGAAGTTCTCATTGCTCTTAACTCATCCACAGAGATTATTACTTTTATAATTTTTATAAATATCCAGGAATTTTTAAGTTTTATATATGTATATACAATGTGTGTGTTTTTATAAATTTTTAACGTGAATAAAGTCAAGTTCTAGATATTTTTTTCTAACTAGTTTTTCCACAAAGCAGTATTTTTGGAGGTCTTCCCATGTCAGTTCATATAGATTTACCTATTTTTTCAAGTGCTGCTGTGTTTTTTATTGTGTAACTAAGTCATAATTTATTGAAACATCCTAATGTTGATAGAGCTTTAGGTTGTTTTCAACATTAACATTCACTCTTTTAATGTTGCAATGAAAATACACAGAGATACAAGTATGTCAGCCATATTAAATACTTAGAAGTGGAACAGCTGTGTTCATCATGATAATGCATTTTATATGTAATGGAGATGTGGGCCCTTCAGTGTAGGTGAAAAAGTACATCAGTTCTTCACTGTTCCCTCTGCCTGAAGAACTTTGCCCTCTAAAAAGTCCTGTGGCTTTCTTTCTCCCTCAATTAAGATTTCTGAATCTTCCTCCACTCCCTCTATAATAAGACTACTATACTTTCTCCCTCTGCTACCTAACCTTTACTTAGTTGTTGTTGTTTTTTTTTATTTCACTTACAACCGTCCACTCTATAATGCATTTATTTGTTTCATTATTTATTGTCTAGATTTATCAGTTTTGCTTTCTGCTATATCTCTCGTACCCAGATCAGTGCCTAGTGCTTAATACTACTTGTTGAATAGTGGAAAAAAATGAGGAAATAAATGAATGATAGTTTTGCCTCTAGAGCTACCTATCTTGGTATTTGGCTTTCCATCTTGAAAGCATAGGAACATGGAAAATCAAGATGTGAAAATTACATACTTGTTAAAAATCATGTTAAAAGCTTTTAGTAAAGTTTTTGTTAAAAATACATGCCAGTTTCTCTACTAAGGGAAACATAGCCTTTGTCTCTGCAAGGAAAAGTGCATAATCATTTATGAACTCCACCAAATGAGAAAAAAGTAGTCACAGAGGTTTTTGTGATCATCTGAAATATAATCCACTTAAGGTATTGGATAGTTTAACACAAGGTAATTTATCTACTTTTTGATATCAGGACAGAATGAAATAATGTCCCAGGGCCTCTTATAGCATGCTTGGTACTTGAACAACAGGGATCTTATTGACCGGAATTAATGTTATGACATCAAAGTCTACTTCTCAGTATTCCCCAGAAGCTCTGCCCTAAAAAACTTCCTTCCAATTACCACCATGTTTCTCCTTTGTCTTTTCTTTTGTGTTGCTGAGACTTCAACTGGGATGCTTATACAGACTATGATATTATATACCATTGGTAACCAAATAGAAAATAAGAATTTAGAACATTGTTGTCCATCTGCCTTCCCTCTCTTGGGGTGCCTGGGTGGCTCAGTCAGTTAAGCTTCTGCCTTCAGCTCAGGTCATGATCTCGGGGTCCTGGGATCGAGTCCTGGGATCATGTCCTGGGATCTGAGCCCTGCCTCAGACTCCCTGCTCAGCGGGGTGTCTGCTTCTCCCTCTCCCTCTACCTTCTCTCCATTGCTCATGTTCTGTCTTTGTCTCTGTCTCTCTCTCTCTCTGAAATAAGTAAATAAAATCTTTTAAAAAAAAAGCTGCCTTCGGGTGCGGGGCGGCGCGCAGGGGAGGGGAGGTGGGCAAGATGGCGCCCGGCGAGTGATTCACCCCAGATACGTCCAGCCGCCGCTGAGACACCAGGGCGGGGGGTCCCGCCCCCACTGCCGCCCTTCCTCCTCTCCCCCTCCCCCGGAGACCCCCTCCTACCCTTCCTCCCTCTACCTCGGGGTGGGGGTGGGGGAGCGGGCCTGGTTCCCGGGACACCATGTCGGACTCTGAGGAGGAGAGCCAGGACCGGCAACTGAAAATCGTCGTGCTGGGGGACGGCACCTCCGGGAAGACCTCCTTAGCTACATGTTTTGCTCAAGAAACTTTTGGGAAACAGTACAAACAAACTATAGGACTGGATTTCTTTTTGCGAAGGATAACATTGCCAGGGAACCTGAATGTTACTCTTCAAGTTTGGGATATAGGAGGACAGACAATAGGAGGCAAGATGTTGGATAAATCTATCTATGGAGCACAGGGAATCCTCTTGGTATATGATATTACAAATTATCAAAGCTTTGAGAATTTAGAAGACTGGTATTCTGTGGTGAAGAAAGTGAGCGAGGAGTCAGAAACTCAGCCACTGGTTGCCTTGGTGGGCAATAAAATTGATTTGGAGCATATGCGAACAATAAAACCTGAAAAACACTTAAGGTTTTGCCAGGAAAATGGTTTTAGTAGCCCCTTCGTCTCAGCAAAGACAGGAGACTCTGTCTTCCTGTGTTTTCAGAAAGTTGCTGCTGAAATCCTTGGAATCAAATTAAACGAAGCAGAAATAGAACAGTCACAGAGGGTGGTGAAGGCAGATATTGTAAACTACAACCAGGAACCTCTGTCAAGAACTGTTAACCCTCCGAGGAGCTCTATGTGTGCAGTTCCGTGAGCGCACTTTACCTTTGTACCAGCGGTCCTGGCGGCCCTTCACCCCGTGTGGCCCGGGGCCTCTAGAAGCTCTGTTATCAGTGGCCATCTCTGTAGTGTTCAGTTAGCACTTTCCTCCCAGCTTCCTCGGCTCCTCGGCCTGGATGGGACTCAACTTCGGGGCGACACACTTGGAATCCATTAGACTGCTTCACTGAAAAAGAATAATGTTGGTTCTCTTTACGTTCTCCTTCTTTTTTCTCCGATGTAAACTTTTTTAGACAGATACGGAAACTATACAAGTCTTGATCAGCAGCCAGGATTTTGGCCCAGCACAGTTTCATTCTCTTATCTGAACTCCTACCTGGCAAAGTGCACTTCCGAGTGCAAACATTTAAACAAGTAATTTATCTACAGGCATTCTTTTGCTGTCTGTTGTGAGTGAAAATATATAAAGTTGTATTCAACTGAAAATGCTTGAAATAAAGCTGTAATCTATTTTTTCATTTTTTTAAAAAGGGCCTAAATTGCTTATATTGTTGCTGTAGCTCACAAAGTGGTGAGTATTTGCTGTTGTATTTTCATTACTGTGTCATGGTCATTATGTGTTGTGTGATACTCAGGTTAGACGGCTTTCTGAAGTTTGATAAGTGTTCAGCTGATGTTTCCTCCAAACTGCATAAGAGCACGCCCAGAACGAGTCTCAGCTGTTGTTGGATCATTGTGGATCACACTGTACCTGATGTTCAGATGTTCTTCTGCAAATAAACTTATTTCAGTTACAAAAAAAAAAAAAAAAATCTGCCTTCACTCTCTTAATTGAATTTTATCTGTTTAGTACTTCAGAATGGAAGGTTTAGAGGATTTAATTTGTAAAAGCTAATATTCTTTTTCCGATCATTTTAATACCTTAACTCCCTAAATAGAATTTCATGGATTGAACAACTTATTAACCCAGAGATGCTTCAATGAAAGTAATTCAGGAATTTCAACACATTAAAGGTCAAAGGACATAAAATTCTAGAGTAAAACTAGCTTAAGAGAAGAGAAAGCAAAGCCAGGGTTGATTCCTGAGGTAGGATTTATTTTCTTCTAGAACAATTTAAATTTTCAAAAAATATTTTTGAAAAAATTAGTGTTCCTATTAAATGCACACTCACTCACATACTTAGCATTGAAAAGAAGCCAGATAAAAACTAATGGAAGCTGGGGCACCTGGGTGGCTCAGTTGGTTAAGCATCTGCCTTTGGCTCGGGGTCCTGGGATCAAGCCCCTACTTAGCGGGGAGTCTGCTTCTCCCTCTCTCGAGCACTCTCTCTCTCAGGTAAATAAGTAAAATATTAAAAAAAAAAACTAATGGAAGCTAAAGCAACTAATGAGAGTTTCAATATTTTGGTCTCTCCTTTTTTAATCTCTAGTATGTTATGGTTTTCATTGGTATCACTGCTTATAAGAAATTATAAATGACAAACTTCAGGCAATGTTTGGGATGGCTTGTGGTATACTGGGGTTATGTAAAGATTCAACCTCTACAGTTAGAAAATATTCTAAAATATTGAATGAGTAATTAGTTGTAATACCTAAGGATACAGAAAAATGCTGTGCATTCCAAATGCTTAGGTTGTCACTAGCTAGTAGGGGGAAAAAAAAAAAAAACATTTGTGCCAACTTCATGCATATTAAACAGATACATGCCATGTGGCCAAAAAAAGAAAATTGGTTGGAATGTAAAAGTAACTTTTTTAAAGGCTACTCATGTACGTCTGCACTCCCTTTTAATCTCTTTGGCATTTTATAGTTGGCACTTTTCTTTCATTTAAAAAAAATAAATGCTTTTCTCTGAATAAGAATGAATCACCAACTTATTTCCATGTTTACCAAGAGTAGCTCAAAAGTTAGTGTTGTTTTTCTTGATAGCAGTAGCTTCAAAGGATCTTGTCTCTTGTGAAAATCATTACAAGATTTCAATTTTTTTTTTAGTTAGTTTTATAGTCAAAGAAGTTAATTGATCACTCAGTTCACTCCAAAAAACTCTTACCTATTTTATGACACTACGATTTTGTGTTTTTGAGTTAGAGAAAAGGAAACTTCATGCTTGAGTCAGGGGAAAAAAGAAGACTCAAGTCAAGAAAAGTATTTCCAGACTCTTTGGAGATGAGCCATTTTTCTGGGCTCAAAAGTCCAGTGTAATTTACAGATTATGTTTAAGTTTGATCATGAGGCAAATTTGTTTACATTTAAGTTTGATCATGAGGCAAATTTGTTTGTCATTATTTCAAGGATTAAACTAATATGATAACTTGCAGATCTGAAATCAAACATTTTTTTAGTTTCTTTTTTTAAGGTTTTATTTAAATTCCAGTTAGTTAACATACAGTGTAATATTAGTTTCAGGTGTACAATACAGTGATTCAACACTTCCATACCATACCCAGTGCTCCTCCTTGGACATTAATAAAAAAAAAAACAACTAATGATTATGTGAACACATTTTTACTTAACTCATTTATTCAAATTTGCTCATTCACATATTCAGCAGTTACTTACTGAGTGCCTACAATATGCTCAGACATGTGCCAAATTGTAACGTCATGGTGATATAATGGTGAACAGTAACAGATAAAGTTTCTTCTCTCATACCTTTAGAATCATATATAATAATTTTCAGAAGGGAAATCATTCCACAAAAAAATATTTTTTCATCTGTCAACCCACCAGAAGGTTCTGATCAGTCTACAAAGATACTAAAAATTTAGTCACAGGAACAATTTCTTGACTCCATCCAGGTAAATCTTAAAAAGTAGAGAGACTTTGGTTGTTCTCATGGTTACAGGACATTGCCAATCACAGATAGAAACAGTAAGTAGTTCCAGATCAATCTTGTGATACTTTTCAGTTTAGAATTAACAATTTTTTGCCCCACAAGGGCTGGCTGAGGCTTACAGTAAAAATTCTTTCTAATAGAACTTCAGTTTGGCTGCTAGAAGACTTTGGCCACGAGGACTGACAATTCAAGAATGGAAAACAATTAGAAAAATAAGAAAAATTCACAAGGTATACTCAAGGTTGTATTGATGCTCAAGTTGACTACCAGGTGAAATAAAGTAATTCTTTTAACTGTAAGAGAATGAGAATGTTGGTAAGATGGCAGAAAGGGAGGCTTCAGATTAAAATAAAAGTCCAACTGCAATAAGGAAGAAAAACAGTCTTTCAAAAAAAGAGAGAGAGAGAGAGTTTGCGTATTTTGCGTGGTAACTTATAATAAAGTAATTTTATGATATTGCAAGGTAACCTGAGATGAAAACTGGGAGATCCACATCTCTCTGTTTCTCTTTGTGTTCATCTTCATGTTTAAAGGTTTAAATCACTTGAGGATCAAAACACCCAAATTAATCTCTGAGTACTTTATGTTAGTCCAAGGCTGTAGTTCTCTCCTTTGAGGAAGACAGAGCAGTCTTGCCAGAAGAGGTGGAAAAAGCAGGGTTTATAAAAAGGTTGAAGAGGAATCATTTAATTCTCACCATACTTGGCTTTCCCAGGAACGATTATGCATTTCTTATGAATGTGACATTGAAAATCTGTACTTTTTATAGTACACAGTGGGAAAAAATGTAAGCTGTAAAACGTTGCTTTAAAAACGTGTTTAAAAACAGTGTTCTGACACTTTATTGCACAATGAGCTCTTACATTAAGCATTTATGGCAGCTACAAATTCACAGCATGGTTTTGATGCAGTAATAAAAAGCACCAAAATGGGTCCAACTGACATTTTACAGCCAGAACAAAGGGTTGAAAGTCTAAAGCTTATCTATAGCTACTACATGTTACATATTAGCTGTATTATCTATAGCAAGATTACATGTTAGCCACCCTAAAAATATATCTAACAGTCAGTTATTAGTAAATTTCTTATTTCAACCACTTTGAAGGACAAAGAACATGAATTTATATGGTCAAACAAACTTAAGGTAATTAGAAGGGACTCAGTGTGTATTTGTGACCACCAAGTGCATACACAGTTCATCCAAAATCCATCCTTGCCCAAAGGAATGAACCAATCTCATTACTATTCTTCTCTGTAATTCCAGAGGTTTTTTTCTGTGTTCATCGAGGGTACTGAGTCTAGAATTCTCTCAGGTGTTCTGAATTTTGGCAAAATATTGAGAATGTCTTCTATACTTTGGATTAGCCAACACAATCACAAACATGTAGTGGGGTCCAATCTTCCTCCTACTCAAATTCCCCCACCTACCATGACCAAAGCTATGGCTCTTTATCAATATCAGATTACTATGTTGGCTGAGTGATGTTTTGCCTAGGCCTTATCCAAAATACATGACAGTCTTGAAGCTGCTGATTTGAAACCTTAACGGACTCGATAGTTGAAAACAGGTGTCCTATATAATTCTGGCAGTTCATGAACAGGGTTTCCTAAGTGCATTTAAGTTTTAAAAGATACACAGTTTACTGGGTAGCTACCTTTCTAGATAGATAGCATTTTCAATGGGAGTGAACAATCTGACGTTTTACTTAGTTCATGAATTTGTCTATGGAAAAAGAACTAGAATTATTTTCCCAAGCCAATATCTTTTTGTGTGTTTGTGTGTGAAATTTCCACTGCCAAAAGGCTCATGACTTGGACACAGCATAGTCCAGTTTTTCAGTATTGCAACAGAAGCCAAGATGTGCTCTTCCCCAATGGCTGGTTGCATTTGTCTGAATGCCATGTTCATCAATTTTAATGTTGGACAGACATTTTAGGATTGATTTATATAAATGTATTTACCAGCCAATCTATTCTTAATATTCTGGACAAATCAAGTATATGCCATCAGTAATCAAAGTATCTAAGATTTTTTTTTTTGTTTTATGGATCCAAAAATATATAAATCTATAAATATTTTATCAGGTTTTATTCTTTTTAAAATACTTCAACAAACTGTTTCATTTGATTTATGCCTATGCTCTTTGATGGCACAGGTGTCATTTAGATATATGATAATGTATATCTAGAATCAAAAATCTTTAATTCCTTGAAAATAAATTTCTTCTGATGACATAATAATGTCAATGTAATTAAAATCCTGCATTTAAAATTCTGGGATGAAATTAAAGTTCCTTTTGTCTCTTTTTGAGACTACTTTGAATTTCTTAAATCACATAATCCATAATGCTGTCTTTCATACGTAAGGTTAGTACCACCCTTGAAAACACTGTGTGTGTAGTTGACAGTCTATAACATTTGACTCTCCTTCTAGCTCAACGATACCTCACTGGCCTCCATTATATATATTATTCTATTTATTTCATAATCTTAAAATGGCAAGGCAAGCTGCTCATTCTCATGTAAAAACATGAGAAGCATTGCACTGAAAGGTAAAAATATATTTGAGAATATTTTATTGCTTTGTAAAATTGAACAAAAGTAGTCATGATAAAGAAGGAATAACCTTTGCTCCTGTTATTGTTACCAGCTTTTACTAATTACAAATGGTAATACCACTGTAACAAATGCAAACAATGTAGAAATGCATCACATATGTTACAAATATCTGCTGCAACCCTTTCCAACACCGATCTCATCCTTGATTTTTACAGTATTCTTCCCATACTTTTCTCTTATACCCATTTAAGTATAGGTACATTATATTAATGAGATTACAACTTGCTTTTCACAAGAAATAATATTACTTAGACCTCAAGTTTGGAAAGGCCATCTTTCCATCCCTCAAAAATCCTTATAAAAACTCTTTTATTTTGTGATTTTATTTTT